ATTCGCGCAAACCGGCATGAAGTAGGGTTGTAATACTACTAATCGTGCAGCCTTCAAAATCACGTTAGGATGCCAGCTTTTTAACGAACTTCCTTCTGATCGCTTACAAAGAGGCTATATTCTGTAAAAACAAAATAACTACTTAACTCGTATGTATTTAGGAATTCAAGTTAGGCGAACGAACGTTCTCGATGAATTCATCATCAGGCAAATACAATAATATAAGGGAGAGGGGTAGAGTTAACAAACAGTTTGAGCAACTAATCAGTATTAAATGGGGGAAAGGGGAGAGGTGTGTTAAGGGGTCAAAGGGGTCAGATTCTAGCCCTTATTGAGGACTAACGATTATCCTACCATTACCTATGATTAAGGAGTTTCGATGGAATCCGAAACGTCAGGAAAATAAAACTCTTGTTGCAGCGGTCGTGTCTTCTTCTTCTGAACTGCTTACGGAACCTACATATTCACTTCTATTGGCAAATTTATTGTTGACAGTCTTACCTACCTACCTACCTACCGGACGTGAACGCTCGCCCAAGTGTCTTACAAATCGACCCACATAAAGTTTAGGACGCGCGCAAGTTCATATTTCCATCTGCTATGCTTGTAGCAAAAATGGGATATATGTCAGCTATTGATACAAGTATAGAAATACTATTACCAGAATATACTATCCCCTGGTCATAGCAAGTATGATTACTAGAATTAGCACTCTTAGCATTGGCATATTACATCTAGCAGCAGTATCCTTGCCCAAACTAAGGAAAATGTGACACAGCTTTCAGTGGACAGAGGTGCGAAGGCGGACACCAAGGAAAGCCCTGATGTGCTTAGAGCCCCAAACGTGTATTTACGCGAAATAGTTTAAACCTAGCTTCCCAAGTCTTTTTGAGATCAAGGGAGTATGAGCTCCAGCGTAATTTTTAATCCGCTTAAACTCTGACTATTACTACCGTCAGCAATATTGCCAGTACTACTAACACTAGTTAGTAGTAGTAGTAGTAGTAGTAGTAGTAGAAATAGCAGCAGCCATATCGGTCTCGGCCTCCTTGAGCCCGTCTTGACACCTACTTGGGTGAGTGAGGGTAGGTAGTGCGGTAGTACCCGCGCAAAGTCTACTATTAGTTAATACTAAGTTATGCGGGTTTTCTGGCTTGTATCGGAGAAAGCGACCAACGCTGGATCCAGTCTGGTTTTCTTGACCCATGGTGAAGGTGAAGAGTGCGGTTAGCGCCAACTACGTCTGCTATCATTTTAAAGTTACTCTCTGTGGCCAGTCACCATCAGTGCACCAACCTGTTGGTGCATATGGTGGACTTCATCGAAATCGATGGTCAAACATTCATCAATCATACTGATAATTACGCAAGAGTTCAACCGTCGAGTACGAAGAGATCCACCGTACGCTCCACTACAGGATGGTGCAGAAACGGTGACCTGCGCTGGATTATAGTGAAAGTAGACTTTCGATGCATCCAACTCACTCACTCGCTCTCTCTCCTCTTGTTGGTTATATTTCGTCCTCTGCTGTCAACCACCTCGAACTCAGAATAGATAAGTTTTCGGTGTGAAGATCTGTCGGGAGGAAATGGATGATGCCAAGCCGTGACTGATTCTGTACACAACCA